ACAAACGTCCCTAAGAGAGGAGGTACCTGTGGGGAGGCCCCGAGGGTGTGGTGTCCGAAAGCCCCTGGAGGACAGAATGATGTCCTCAGGGACTGGCAGTCCGGAGTAACCGAGGACCTTCCTGACTCCAGCACCCTGCCCTGGCCTCCTCACCGTGAGGCCTCCACAGCCCGTGTCTCCACAGGCCTGCACCGGGGGCCGCCGGTCTGGCCCTCCAGCTGCAGAGGCCATGGCCCTGCATGGCTGCCTCCAAATGAAGCTTCACCGGGGGCCACTCTGAATGAGTAGTGGGCACTGCCCTGGCAGAAGATGGGCTCCTCTCTGGTGACTCCGAGCTGGATGTGCCCCTAAGGCATGAGACAGACTGCGGTGCCAGACCCCACAGACCGCACGTGGCTGACTTGGCCGCCTTGCCCTTTCCCAGGTTCTCAGAATGTGCTGGTTGGGGCCCTGACTTTTCCGCTCGCTTCAGTGCCTCTCTGCTGCTGGCTGCCCGTCAGAGAAGCCGCGTCCCTTTGAATTTGAGGCGTGCCGGCTGAATAAGCCCTGGCGTAGCCCTTTCTTCCCTCAGAGAAGCCTTAGAGCACTCGCCTCACCCCCAGGAGGCCTCTCCCACGGGACCAAGTCCCACTCTGCTGTGTCCTCTGCAAAAACGGTCAGCTTTCTTTTTGTATGGTCTCTGCAAATATTTAATTTTTAAAAAAGAAAAAAAAAAAAACAGGAAATGACCTTTCTGGTATATTTGGAAAACAATTTGGAGCTGTAATGGAATCTGCCTGAGCGCTGAGGACTAATAGCTGCAGACTTGGAACAGACTGTGTAGTTTTTGGCAGAGCCTGGGGTCTCTTTAGTGCACAAAGCGGGGGGAGAATGAAAAACCGAGGAAGAAAGCAACTTCCTGTGGGGAAACCTGACGGTGCCCAGGGCGAGCACCTGCAGGAGTCGCAGCCTCTGACCCTGGGCCACTGCGGGAGGGTCTGGGAAGCTGAGCACAAGGCTCCTCCCTTCTGACCTGGGCGCTCAGGGTCAGTCAAGTGCCTTACCAGCGTCCAGACCCCAGGAAGTCACCAAGACCTCCTGAGGATAAAGAAGAGGGAAAGAATGTCACTCTGGAGCACCTGTAGGGCTCAAGATGAGATAGGAGACATGGGATCGCTGTAGACTCAGATCATTGGCTCCGCCTGGATCACCCTCTCCACCTGTCCAGTAACTCTAAGCCCAAGGTCACCTCCTCAAGGAGGCCTTCCCTGACCATACAACCCTTAACCGAATCATCCACACGCAGAGAACCTGTTCTCTTCACCCCTAGCACTTAGAACAGTCTGTGATGACAGATTCATTTACATGTTCAATGCCTTTTCTCTTAGCAGATTGTAAATGTCTTTTTAGTCTTCAATGTGAAGATGCTCAGTCAACACTGAGTGGACGGACGGACGGATGAATGGATGAATGAAATGTCAGGACTGGAAGAGACTTAGAGATTATATTTCAACCTTCGTTATTCAGATGGAGGAAAGGAAGCTGGGAGAGAGGAAGGGACTCATCGGGGGTCACCTTCTCGCATGGAGATTGAGCTAGGCCTTTGGGCATCATTATAATGCAGGGCTGCACACCCCTTGGCTCTTGCTATCCTAGAATCTAGAACATCATCTATTTTTCCTCACTCATCAAATATTCATTGAGCTTCACCTGTGTGTTAGGCCGCTCAGATACAGCAGTGTACATGCCAGTCAGGTCACCACTTTTGTGGAACTTACATTCCACTCAGCACCGTAAAGCAAAGAAGAAGAAAGGATAACTTGTGGCCTTCTATGCACCATTCAACAGTAAAAAACAAAAGAGTTGAACGAAAATGTCAAAGGGACAGTTTTACTGATATCACCCAACAAAAACGGACCGTACTAATGATTTATTAATCGCGCGCCTCTTCTGTGCCACATACCTTATCAGACTCTACATACTTCGTCTCTGTGAATCTTCACAGCAGCCCTGAGCAGCAGGGTGTCACTGTCATCCCCATGTCGCTGAGGAGGAAAACTGGAGTAAAGAGAGCAGAGGGGACTTGTCCAGGGTCTCTGAGTTAGTAAACAGAACACCAGGCTAGAGCCCCCCACCGGACGCCTTCCACCACGCCACACATCCCCTCAGAGACTTGCCATGTCCTTGGGACTCCCGAGGGGGCAGCATGGTGTGGGGGAGAGCTCTGGACCAGGAGTTAGGGCCCCTAGATTCAAGAACTTGGGGCAAGTCACTTTCCCTTTGTGAACCTTGGTTTCCCCAGCTATTAATGAGAGGCTCGTCTGAGCTCTGGGATCCCTTTCAGTCTGATTATTTCACAAATGGTTTTGAGTAAATGGAAAAAATAAGATGGATCTCTAACTCATACCTTATAGCAAATAAGTTCCGGATCAGTCAAAGATTTAAGTGTGAAAAATAGAGTGATTAAAAGTGTAAGAAATAAACAAGGGAGAGTTCTTTACTGATCTCAGAGTGGGAAGGCATTTCTAAGTATGATCCAGAACCCAGAAACCATAAAATAAAACATGGATCAATTTGACTATGTGAATAGAAAAAAAAAATGTATACATGGGGAGAATTGCCAAAAATAAATTTGAAGCACAGATGACAAGTAAAAATTACTCGTAACTCCTCTTAAGGCAAAAGATTGATTTCCTTTATATACAAAGAACTACAGACCAATAGGAGAAAGAGATACAATCCAATAGGAAAATGGGCAAAAATGTTTGAATAAACAGTGCCCAGAAAGGGAAATACACATGGAAAGATGCTCAGCTTCACTCAAGGAGCAGCGCAAACTAAACCAGATAGTGTTTTCACATTTCAGGTCGGGGGAGTGGGGAGACGGTGCCTGTGAGAATGCGTTGAAACAAAGTCTCGTACATGCCCAGCTGGAACTACAGAACCTTTGCGGAGGAAAATTTGGCAAGATCTGCCCTCAAAAAAAAAAATCAGTCTACGGCCATGCCACCCTGAACGTGCCAGATCTTGTCTGATCTCGGAAGCTCAGCAGGGTCAGGCCTGGTTAGTACTTGGATGGGAGACCACCTAGGAAGACCAGGTGCTCTAGGCGTAAAAAAAAAAAAAAAAAAATCATAGATCCTTTAATGTGGCAGTTTACTTTTATGAACACAACCCCGAAGTCCATTAATAGGAAAATAATTAAAACAGCCTAGAGCAGTGAAACAACAGAATACCATGCAGCCAGTTAAAAAAAAATAAAAAATTAGCTGTATAAGGACTTTGGATTTGTTTCTAGGGTTTCGACATGATCACTGCTGCAGTGGCATCAGGGTGATCTGGAATTGATTCCAGGATATATTTTTAAATGTAAAAAGCAAGATGGAAAACAACTTTCTGTTTTAAATGAGGAGAAGGAAGGGAGGGATGGAGGGAGGGATGGAATATGTATATTGCACAGTCTGTCTCTGGAAGGACAGAAAGGGCTTGCCTTGGGGAGGGCGTCTGAGAAGGCCACTAAGCCGTCTTTTTCCTTTTGTACCTTTTAAGTTTTATACTGCATGCACATATTCAAAAATGAAATAATTTTAAAATAGTGAATGTTTTCAATATAAAATTTTAGGAAATACAAAAAGCATTTAAATCACTCATAATTAAGTCATACTAATACATGTGATCATGTCATCGAGATTCTTTAGCAATGTATGTGAACATTTTTCCATGTCTTTAAAAAATATTCACAAATATTTTCATGCCTGAATGGTATTTCATTGGGATATAAATTAGTTAAATATGGATATACTTCTCTATTGTCCATTTACGACATTTGACATGTCCATTTAGGAGCTCACTTTGGTGTCTTTAGTTTTTGACTATTATAAATACTGTGATGAACATGTTTATACATTTATCTTCATGCACAACAGATTATTTTTTTTAGAATAAGTTGTTATAAGCTGGCTTGGCAGACATATTGACTTCGTGGCTCAAGGATATGAAAAAAGTTGAGGTTTCTTGATTTATCTTGTCAGGTCGCTCACTCTCCAGCGACATCCTGACAGTTTACACTCTCATTAACAGTCTGAGAATGACCATTTTCTGATGCAATTTCCAACTCTGAGGATTCTTTATTTCCACCTTTGCTGTTGACTTTAAAGAACAGGGTGAGGGAAGAGTACAAAGGTTGAAGAGAAATGAAATGTGCCAGAGCGGTCCCCAGACACGAACCCCAGACCCATCTTTGGAACTGCTGTTTCCTGAGCAGGTGGGGATGCGGCCGCTGGAGCTCTTTGGCTCGGTTGGTGTTTTCCAGGATTGGGCTTGGAGCTTGGCACACTTCCTTCTCCGCGCCAGGAGTGTCAGCTTCCTGCCCTGAGCAGCTTGTAAGGTCAGCCAGGCAAAGGCGGGAGCCAAAGCTGCAGGGTGTCTGTTCCTTTTAGATGGAGCCTGTAACTCCATCCCGTGGTGTCAGGTCCTAGAGATAGCAGACGAGAACATCAGCACCACAGTCTACAGCGGACAGAGGCGTCACCCAACAACAGTTCTGAGTCGCTTTATCATCCCCAAAGATAGGAAAAAAGGAAGACACAGCCAGCCAGATTCAAATTTAATTTGAGGAGTCTTTATTGAACGCCTACTCTTTGCCAGGTGCTGGTCGAGAATCTGAGGATGGAGCAGCCAGAGCATGTTGGCTCAGCTGCCAGCATCAGGCCTTCCAGTCTGGCACAGTGAAATTCTAGACAAAAGTCTAGATGGAGGAAAAGAGCTGAGGAAACAGGGCTTGGGGAGGTGGTGTGGCCTGTGCAGGGTCTGCCCCGTCCAGGCCCATGCGGGATGAGCCCGGGCCTAGGAACCAGGTCTGCCTGAGGCCTGAGTTGTGGTTATCAGCTCACCTCACTGACCTCAGAGGGCTTTTGTGGCAGTTTAGTAAGCGAGGTGTGGAAAACATAACGACTTGGTAAACGTTACCCTTACTGTTAGAATCGTCGTAATTTTTATTGTTGCTGCTGTGTTTGCAACAGGCCGTTCCCCTGTTCTGAAGCTTGGAGCCGTCTACGCAGAGGGTGAGTGTACGAGTGAAACTCCTGTGAGCTTTGGAAGGAACCAGCTCTGGGACTTGGGAGTTCGTTGTTTCCTTGTCGTTGATTTGTTTTTTGCTAAGAGCCAAAGGTACAAGTAGGGCAGCTTCTTTCTCTCAGGGCAGCCAAGAAAAACCGGGCTGGGTGTGCCCTCTGCCGGAGCCTGGGGGGATTACCGTAGAGTCTTGCCCCAGGTCTGGTGGCAGAGCCAGGCTCCTAACACAAGGTCACTCTCTTTTCTCTCTCTACTACAGGACACCTCCCTGTCCCCCGCTGCCTGGTCTTTGAGTGCCCCTTTTTCTTCAGGTGTCTCTTATGAGCTAGGTGTTGTGGGGCAATGTGGGTCCAGCTTTACGTGCTGGCCAGCCCCTCCTTCCTCTGTCTCTGTGTCCGTCTCACACACACTCACACACACACACACACACACACACACACACACGCATGCACGCACACATGTTTCAGTTTTCAGTTTCTGGATATTCATCCCTCTGAGAATTAACAAGTAAATAGAAAGCTCAAGTGTCTGCACTTTATATACACAGTAACTTGAGCTTGTAAAAACTTCCACCTTTACAAATATATAGACTTAGAAGTGAAAGTTCCCCTTAGTCACAAAGAACACTTGACAGGTTTTTTTTTCTCTTGTATCTGCTCTCCCCCACAAACTGGGTTTTATTTTAGGTGTTGTTTTGCAGCCTGCATTTTGCATTTAACAGTTTATTTCAGAAACTTTGTTATGCCAGTACAGGTCCATCTGGTGTATTTTTTTTTTTTTTTATGAATACAGTACTTTATAATGCCTAGCCTCCTGATGGACATTCAGGTTGCTCTCTACAGTTTGCCATTACTGACCACATGCAGTAAATGTCCTCACACTACAGAGAGCATCGGCATTTGCCTCTGTGTCTAGAACTGGGATTTACTGGGTCCTCCTACCTAGGAGGACTTTGAACTACTAAGGTCAAGCCAGTGGCTTAAATCAGGGTCCCCAGCCTCCTGGGCCATGGACCAGTGCTGGTCTGTGGCCTGTTAGGAATGGGCTGCACAGCAGGAGGTGAGCGGCAGGTGGGTGAACAAAGCTTCATCTATATTTGCAGCTGCTCCCCAGCGCCAGCATCACCGCCTCAGCTCCACCTCAGATCATCAGGCATTAGATTCTCATAGGAGCACTAGTCCTTGCTGCCAAAAACGTTGGGGACCGCTGCCTTAGATCACCCCTCCCATTTCCCAGCTCAGGGTCTGCAGGTGGCCAGAGTCCACGTGGTGACTGGGTGATCTGACTGCCTTCAGAGCATCGTGGGTGCTCGGTGAGATGCTTGCACGCTCTGAGCAAGTTAACATTTTTCACATAATAGCGTTACCTATTGTTGGCAAGGGTGCATGTAAATCAACAATCTTATATGCTGCTAGTGGGAACGTAAACAGGAACAGTACTGAATTTATAAGGTTTTTCTCTCATTTTTTTTGTCGAGTACAGTTGACCCTTGAACAATGCACGTTTGAACTACATGAGTCCGCTTACATGCGGATTTTCTTCCAGTTGGCCCACGCAGTTCAAACCTGTATTCTTCAAGTGTCAGCTGGCAGTTGGGAATCTAAGTACAAGGGCCGACTTGAGTCGTATGAGGATTTTCAACAGCTCGGGTGGTCGGCGCCTCGACCCCCACGTCACTCAAGGGTCGACTGTACCACTGCCTTTCGTGAGGGCAGCTTGGAAGTGTGCCAAAACAGTGTCTTCACATTTTTATCCTTCCCTTTAGCCCAGCAGCTCTCCTTCTGGGAATATAAGGCAAGAACTGGAGACAGACACAGCGGTTTACATAAGTACCTAGTACTGTCTGCGATGGCGGAGCACCCCCATGTTCATTTCTAGGGGACCGATCAAATCATGGTGCATCTGAATGAATACGCGTGTTCAGAAATCAGCTAGCGGGAACCTCGACGACGTGCTCTAGTGTTCCAAAGAGTAGGCTGTGAAATACACTATGTAGTATGATCCCAAATAATTTTTGAAATGTATTTGGCTCTTCTTTTTGAACGTGGTTCTCTTCTCTCCCTAGGCTGAGGATTGTTAACCACCATCTTTGTAGCAATAACTCCTAACTTCCTGTCTTTCCTCCCCATGCCATCCCTCAGCTCTTCTGAGCTCCAGCCCTGGCTCATGTACTTCACCTCTCCCCTCGGAGGACTCACCGGCATCTCAGAGTTCACGTGGTCCAACAGAACTGTCAAATAGAACCCCGCTGTCACTCCCCAAAATATTCTTCCTCTGCTCCTCCCCATCGCAGGAAATCCCACGTCTGTCCACCTGCTTATTCATATCAGAGAGCTCACTTTCCCATCAGTCAAAACCAAGTCCTGTTGACTGATCCTCCAAACTACACCTAGACTCTGACCACTACCATCTCCCTCCACCCACCATCTTTTTCACACCTGACCTTCTGCAGGAGCCTCATCATTTGCCCCCTTCTGGACCCTGCTCAACCCAGTTACCAGAGTCATCCTCGAAAGTGCAGATCTGATCATGACCTGGCCTAAACCCCTCAGGGGCCCCGTTGCAGATGCCGTCCGTCCCAGCCCAGCTCAGCAGAATACTTGATGGCACTGCCCCTCCCCCACCGTCCTCCAGCCTGCAGCCCTTCCATCCCACTCAGAGCCTTCACACATGCTCGTGCCCTCAACTCCTTGTCTTGATGCTGCCTGTTTCTCCTTGGATCTCAGCTAAACGTCACTACCTGACCCCCAGCCTTGGTCAGGCCCACTTAGTCACCCTGCCTTCTCCCTAGAAAACCTGAGCACCATGGTACTTAAGTGGTAGGTAATTTAAGTAATGCGACACCACCCCCTTAGGCTGTAAGCTCCCTGCAGGCAGGGACCATGGCTGACCTGTTCATTCCTGCATCTGCAGCACTTAGCCAGTGCCTGGCACATGAAATTGGTAAATGTGTAGGTGTTGATCAATAACTTAAAAGACGGGATATTCTTTAAAATGAAGGTGGTTTTCTGGGCATGAAATTACAGGTGACTTTCTGTGGTTGGTTCTTTTCTGTGTTTTCTGTTTTGCCTTCAGCGATCAAGGCAATGACTGTCATTTTGTCAAATGACATCAGTGCTGTGGAGCAGAGCTGAGTCTCCCCTGCAGGATGCGCCTGGACTCACCGCTGCCCTCCTGCCCTTGTCCCCGCAGGCCCGAAGAGCGATGCGACAGGCGTGATGGAAGTCGAGTCCTCCTACTCGGACTTCATCTCCTGTGACCGGACGGGCCGTCGGAATGCCGTCCCTGACATCCAGGGAGACTCCGAGGCCGTGAGCGTGCGGAAGCTGGCGGGGGACATGGGCGAGCTGGCGCTCGAGGGGGCAGGTCAGACCCCCTGCCGCACTCCCGCCTGTCCGTTTCCTTTGCTAGAACATTCCCCAGCCAGCCCTGTGGCTGCCACCGCCTCATCCCCACCCCAAGCTCAGATACCAGGTGCTCAGAGGAGCTTTACCTGGCGCCTAAACTGCCCCTCCCCGACCCTCCTCACCCTGACAGCGTCTCCGGGGTGTAAACGTGAGCCCTGCAGAGCGGGGCCTTCTCTTCTGCTCGCACGGGGACGCCACGGGCCATGAGTGAATAGAGGAAGCAGCACCTGGACCCCAAATAGTACCCAGGACCTGCCTCCTCCCCTCACCGCCACAGAGGCTGTGTCTGTCACATCACTTCCCATAGCACACTGCAGCTGTCGGGCTCCGCGTGTCTTCCACGGAGCTGTCCCTGGATGGCCACAGCCCTGTTGTTTCCTGGACAGCCCCCAGTCCAGAGCCCTTGGTCCTTTCTGAGTACAGAACAGAGAAGACTTTGTGGGGGCACCAATCCAGCCCTGTCGTGTTCTTTATTTGGACAAAGTGGCCCAGAGAAGTTAGATAGCTCACTCAGGGTCCCCAGCAAGTTAACGTAGTTAGAACGAGAACCTGGCTGCCCCAGCACCCTGCCCAAGAAACCACCTGCCCCCCCGCCGCCCTCCTTTGTCATGTGACCTCAACTCCCTACCAGGGCACATGAGCTTCCATGGGTCTCACACTGCTCCCTCTGTCTGGCTCTCCCTGCCCTCCCTTTGCCTGGCTCGTCCTCCTCATTCTTAGAGACCAGGCTGCTCTGCTGAGGGGACACCCCTGACCGCACCACCTCTCAGGCAGGGGGGTGGGGGGCGGGGTGAGGCCTCTCCCACACAGGATGTCTTGTGCCCTCAGTGCTTGGTGGCATTTGAAACAGGATAGAGGTGCCTAGTCAGTGGCTGTTCACTGTCCAGCCGAATGACCAGCTGCCACCTCGGCACTCTGCCAGGGGGCTCGAGCGTCTGTACCCCTTTCCTTAGCTGTACTAAACTATCTTCTATCTCCCCTACCTCAGCGGTCGTAGCCACTCGTCCATGGACCCAGGACCTTCTCATACCTGTTTTCCCCTGATTCAAAATCCCTGAAGTGTCTGGGTCCTCCACATGCATGACGTGTGACTGACATTTAGAAGGGGGAGCTGAGGAAGGAACAGTGCTCACGGCAAGGGAGTGAGGCGCTCAAGGTGGGGTGCAGCCAGCCGGGCCCCGTGCGGAGCAGTTCCCGCAGGCAGGGGTGTGGGCCGGCTCCGTCCAGCAGAGACAGCTGCACAGCGCGGCCGCCCCAGGCCTGTGGGGTCTGTGAACCCTCCCTGCTGTTTCCTTATGTGGAGAGCACGAGTGTTTCCTTACTTGGCCCTATAATGCGGAACAACAGACCGGGCACGAATGAGTACACTGCTCAGCGGCGAGTGACTCCGAAACTGGCCCCAAGAGACCCAAGGGTGCTGGCTGGTGAGGAAAGTGCTTAAGGACCTCTTTCCCAGGCCAAGAGGGCTGGGACTGGCACGGAGGAAGCCTTACTCTTGGCTGAGACGTTCCCATGTCAGGTGACCACATACAGGCCTTTCCGCCACCTTATACACAGGCAGACGTGTCACTGTCCTCGCTTTATGGAGCAGGAAGCAGAGGCTCAGAGAGAGTAAGTGAATTGCCAAGATCTCATAGCAAGGAAAAGGCAGAGCAGAGATTACTGAGGAATTTAGCGAGACTGTTCCTGCTTGCCGGCATGGGAGGCTCAGGGCCAAATAGGGCATCAGAAGCTGGGAAATGTGCCCAAAGTGCAGTCTAGTTCTTCAGGCCTCTGGCAGGGTCAGAAGGACCCTCTGGGACCAAGCCTTTGCTACAGGGCCCTCCCAGGATAGGAGAGAGCCTGGGGGAGGGGCAGGGGAGCCAGACGTCCAAGTTCTGCCTGCAGCACTTGCTTACCACCAACACCCACTTCCCAAGACTGCTGCAAGAGCGGAATGCGGCAAGGTCAAGGATGACAGGCCTTCATAAACTCCAAAGAATGCTGCTTTATGAGACTGCTTGATCTCCGGCCTCGGTTTTCTCATTCACGTCATGCACTTAATCCCAACTCCGGGCACTGCATGGATTGCACAGAGCTCGGTACAGTGCTGTGGTTCTCCTTAGTCCCATGAAGGGCTCAGCCTAAGGATGCAAAGACAGAGGCCAGATAGGGAGGTGTGGCTAGTCTGGGGAGGACACAGCACAAAGAAACAGTCACAGGCTCTGCCCCCACGGTTCGTGGGCCATACCCTGGTACTCCCCTGAGCTGGCCTCGTCTGACACCCTTTTCTACTAAGAACAACTACCCCACACCAGTGCATGCTGGGACCTCCCATTCGCCCTCTCTTTCTGGAGAACTGGCACAAGGGTCCCGACCCTCAGCTGCCATGCACTTGATGCTTTTAGCATTCACCCACAATCCTGGCCTTTAACTGGGTTTAATTATACTAGTAACACCATGTGCATTCTCTTTGTAAGCATTTAAATGTTAGAGACCAGGCTAAGGTGCCTTCTGGCCACCACCACCCCTAATCCTCTCCTGCTCCGCAGGGCTCATCTACTGTTATCACTTTGGCCAGGCCCTCCCAGACCTCCTTCTGTGCTTTTCATGTGTGTATATGTTCCTCTCCTCTCCAGAAGGACAGGCGGAGGCAGGCGCCCCAGACAAGGAAGCTAGCAATCAGCCCGAAAGCAGCGATGGGACCACCTCATCTTGAATCTGACCTTGCACAAGGAGGCTGGAAGAGAGACCTGCTGTCCCCACCTGGACAGGAAGCCCTGGCACTGGCCCGGCAGCCTCTTCTCTGAGCCCTGTGTCCCAGGCAAGCAAGGCCAGACTGCCCCCAGAGGCCACCGTGGCCCTTACCCTGGGAAGGCCCTCCGCCCACACCTGCAGGCTCCACGCTCCCATCACCTCCTCACAGTGCCCAGGTACACTTTCCCGACACTGTAACCACAGGATGTTATTTATTCAGCGAGCGCTAGGACTTGGGCTGGGCCCTGCCCGCCGGGGTGAGCAGCCCACCCAAGGGCACTCCTTTCATGGGCGGCCTGGGCAAGGACTATGTTCCAGCTCTGCTTCCTCTTCCCCAACCCCCACCTTCTAGGTCAAGACCTTCTAATCTCTTTTTTTTTTTTAAAAAAAAAAACACTTTTAAACTTTTAAAAACTTTTAAACATTTTTCAGCAGAGAGGGAAGGAGCTGACAATTCACCTTTTTCGGGGGGAGCCATTGTAAGCTAAACTCTTTGCCCATCTATGCAGCTCTGAGGTTCCCTCACGGAGCTTCACAGATAGATACATTTTTAGAGAAGAGATTTTTGTGCTCAAAACTACGTGGATCAACTCTTTGCCCTTTCTTTCTACCAAGATAAGTAACACCTGGGACCCAGGAAATAAATGCTGATTTGTGTGGCTGGTTTAAGATTATTTCTCTTTCAAACAGCAAAAGCAGGGCTGGGCCTCGTAGTTCCAGTCGACAGTTAGCTGGGATCCATCGCTATCCCAGGCTTTCATGGGAAGAATACCTGAGCAGACCGGCCGTTCCGCAGAGGCCGGCACCGCGCCTCGGCCTGGTGTCTGAGCCGTCAGTCTTCCGTCTTACCTCCTCTCAGCACAGTCGCCAGCTTCTCAAACCCAGAAGGAAGGTTTTCCCCTTAAAACCTAGAGTGGGAGGGGCTAAGAGTTCAGGGAGCTTATGAGCGGACAGATTTCAAGGGAAGCCTCGTTTCTGGAGGGCGGGCAGGCTGTGGGCCCCTCTTCACCCCCAGCCTCGGAAGCTCCGGCTCCCCAGTTTCAGTGCCGGCCAGGTTCTCGGGCCGAGTCCCAGAGGCTCCTTCTGTTCCCACCCGAGACCACAGCACACATACCACGTGCTGCACGACACCAGCTGTTGCTTTTTATTGAGCACCAGGGTTTCGGCACAAGTCACCATCGGAGGTGGGTTTCAGAGTCAGCCAGGCCCGGGCACATAATCAGTGGAGAGACATGGCCATGCCGAGGTATGTGTGTGTGTGTAGACATGGACACACGGGCTTCAAGAGCATCAGTAGCTCACTATGGAATCACAGTCTTCCTGGAGGGAGTAAGGTAGGAGTGTCGTTCAACCCCCAGAGTTGTGAAGACTCCATCCACAGGGCAAAGGCTCCGAGAGGCGGCTATGACATCATCATCGATGCTGCCCTGCTGGCCAGAGGAGCAGAAAGGTTAGGCAACTCACAGTACCCAGAATGTAAAGGGAAAAAAAAAAATCACAGAACTTTGGAGCCAGAGAAGAGCCCCGCTTCTACAAACGGGGAGACAGGCTTCGAGCAAAGGAATGCCTTGCCAAGGCCACACAGGAAGGAGCAGAACAGAGCTAAGACCTGGGCCCTGCTCCTTGCTCTTGGCTTTGGGCAGACATGCAGATGCCCCAAGTTGCCAAGACCTTTAGGACCGGACTTCATAAAGTCTCTCTCTCAGACCAGCATCAAGACAGCATTATACAGAAAATAAGCTGATCTAGTGCGATGCTGCCACCAGCCAGGGACTTGTACCCAGGGAGTCGTCATACATCCTTGGTGCCACCCAAGACAGGAAGGGAGGGCATCTTGCTCGAAGTCCCACAGAAAGGCGGGCTAGCTGAGCGCCCAGAAGCTCAGATGGGAAGGTACCTGCAGAGGCCGAAGGCGGCATCCCGTAGGCGTGATAGAGCAGGTCCAGGAGCTCCCTCTTCTCGCCCTCGGGGAGGAAACTGGACTTCGCCGCGTTGATGTTCTGGGAGCCACCAGCACAGCAGACAACGTGGAATTAGCATGGCAATCCAGTGACAGCGCACCCTCTTCACTGAATATGGGCGATTAAGCTCAGGAGTGGGGGGCGAGAACTGGTCCCAGGTCACATAGCAGCAAGTGCCAGGGCAGAGGCCATGAGGTCCTGTGTTCTCAAAGTGGCACTCCACGATACAGCCGTGGGAGAAGAAAGCTGGAGAAACTTTGAGACGGGGCCAGAAAGATACCCCTGCAGGGACAGACTTTGGGGTGTTATAACCCCCAAAATCAAGGGCTCGGCCTGGGATCTATGAATAGCCTGAAAAGTGCAAAATTTTATAGCTGAGCATCTTTTAGGGAGAGGGTAGACAGCTTTCCTGGCGTTCCCTGAAGGTCTCAACCCAAAGGATGGAACACCACACTTGGCCTAGGCCAGGACGACCCTGGGGAAGGCGGCTAACTCTGGGTCTGGCTTGGCCCGCTGAGGCAAACGCACTCAGCCCCAGAGGTTCCGGGCCCTGCTGCCCAGGGTCAAGGCCACTGAGGCCCACGCTCACTCACCAGTCTCTTAAACTCCTCTTCAGTAAAGCCCATGTCCCGCTTGGTCATCTGGTAATCAGTGTCCAGGGTGGACTTGAAGATGAGCGGGTCATCTGTGTTGAGTGAATAGTTAGCCTGGTCATTTTTGAACCTGGATGTGGAGAAGACACAGAGAAAAGCCCCTTCGTCTCCTGTGAGCAGTCGCTGCATCAACCCTCACCCTGTGAGCCTCACCTAATCCTTAGTCACACCTGCAGGGCCTCGTACAGAGAACTCGGGTGGCTCGTCCAGGGTCACCTAACTAGCAACTCAAGACTCAAACCATCTGACCAGTCCAAAGCTGGGCAAAGGCAGGAGAGAGCACCCAGGAGAATGGGGGTGTGGGGCGGCCACACGAGCACGCACCCCTCTGGCTCCCACCCTCTCCAGCCTTCCCTTCGGCGCCAGCATTCTGGGAGAGCTGACCACACTGTCCCCCAGTCGTCGGCAAGCCCACTGGGATCTACTCTGCAGGCAGCGTGGACACCGTCGTGGGCACGCTCTCTGGCCACCGTCTTGTGAGGCCCAGTGGACCTTTCCTAGCTGAGTGCACTCGGCTTGTAGAGCAGAATTTTACCCTGTTGACTGTTCTTAGAACCCTTTCTCTCAATTTCTCAGACACCACACTTTGGCTTCCCTCCTACCTGTCTCTCCGGCCTGTCCCTTAAGTCCCTCAAATGTCACTGTCCGTCTGGGTTCTATCCGAGGCCCTCTTGCTCCCTGTCTCTTGAGACCATCGTTCCTTCCAGCACCCTTTGTAGATGACTCCCGAGTTTTTCTCCAGCCCACCGGCTGTGCCCCCACGTGCCCCCGAGAGCCTCCACCTGGACGTCCCACAGGTGCCGCACTCCCCTTTCCTGAGGCAGACCTCCGGACCCCGTGGAACCGGAACATTGGAGCCCAAGCTCCTTCTCTTCTCACACGCTTGACAGGCATACCAGTGTGGCCTGACATGGGTCATTCCAAGTCTCTGCCGTCCTCGTCCCGTGTCAGGGACAGGCGGCTTTGCCCTACTGAGGTCTGATGCCACTCCAAGAACTCAGTCACAGGACAGCCTGCAGACGGGCCAAGGCCGCCTCAGTGGGGTGGAAGCGGGTAGGGTGGGCAGACCCTCCAGGCGAAGGCTTTGGGATGGAGCCTGGGGGTTGTCCAAGGGGCCAGGAGCAGAGACCACGTGAGCAGGAGACACTCACCTTTCTTTTGGGGCAGTAGGACATTCTGCTATAGTGGAATGAGCTATAGAGTGCCCAGCTCTGCTATTTAGTCAAGTTACAGTCCATCTGAGCTTTGGATTCATTTGTAAGTTGAGAATAGCGCCTGCTTCCCAAGGGTTCATACAGATTTTGTATCAAGAGACCCAGCCCCTGCATTTCTTTCCCACCCTGGGCTCTCCTAGTACAAAACTGAATGGCCCAGGGGAGTAAGCCTCACCGAACGACTGCGTGCTGTGTGTCTGGCTTCCAGGCGCCCGTGAGGTAGCTGGACCAGGGGCAGACCTGGAAGAGCAGGCATGGGGCTGGCGAGGACACCTCCAGGCCATGCTGACCGTGCCCTCCCCCACATCCTGGGGCTGGAACCACCTGCTCTGGCACCATTCTGGCCCCGGTCACACTGGCCTCCCTGCTGCCGACTCCGTGAGCCCGTCGGTCCCCTTCTCCCTCTACCACCTGGGCAGCTCTAATGCCCACTGCCCACACCTGCCACAGCTTGCCCTGCACCTTTGGCTCCTGGGACCCTCTTGGCTTTCCACCTCTGTCCTCCCCCTCCCTGGCACCTCGAAGTGCATGTTCTCCTGTCGCAGCCTCTTGTAGAGGGCCTCATCCTCCACGGTATGGTAGCCGTGTCCCAGCCTCTGTGCCTTGAGCGTGTCCACAGCCTGCGGAGAAGCGGAGGGGAGCCCGGAATGAGGCGGGGCAGAAGCAGGGAGAAGGGTCCAGCCCCTCGTCAGCCCGGCCTCCTCACCGCTCTCACCACCTCTGCAGAGCCGACCTCCCCTGCGTGGACTGTGCGGTGAATGTTGCTCCTCACCGCCTCCTGAAAGGGCAAGAGCCAGGTCGTGGGGGGCCCTGGGGGGCCCCAGCAGGCCCTGCCTCCACTATGCTTTGGGTCTTGAGTTTCCGCAGCCTGGACCATGCCCACGGTCAGGCTGGCCCCTTCAAGATAGGGAAGTCTGGTCTTTTTAAATCATTAGGGGGTAGCTATCACTTGACTAGACAGTTACGTGTCAGGCACTGTATGAAATGGTTTGCATACGTTAACTTTCACAACTATTGTAATACCTATTTTACAGGGGGTAGGGGGTGGAACTGAGGCTCAAGTAAGTGAAGTAATATGACCAAGGTCAAACAGCTAGAAAGTGGGGAGCCAAGCTCCGGACTTGGGCAGTGAGACTCCAGAGCCCCCACTTAACTCCATGCTTCACCCTTTCCCAAGGGAAGTGCATTGTGAGGCCAAGACGTTTGCTCCAATGCAGTTATCCTAGGAGATGAACCAGGCCCAGAGAAGAGACAGTCTTGCCCAAAGTCACACAGCAAATCATAGGCAGAAACGGGCTCAGACTCCCAAATGGTAAGTGGGGTCTTCGTACCGAATTCACAATTCCTAGGGCCCCCAGACCCAGCTGAGACACATCTGGGAACCCAAGAGGCCTCACACTCCCGTCTGTGCAACTGCTCCCTACTGTGGGTGAAGACAAGCTCCTCCCACAGCTCACCTGTGCCGGCCTCGCCCCGCCTCCTTCCCACAGGGCCCACCTCGAAGGCCTTCACGTGTCCAGGGAAGAGGCTGCTTCCTTCAAGGGTCTCATCTCCAGCCAGGTCGATGGCCACCACAGTCTGTTGCTGGTACTTCTTACACAGCTCTACCACCTCGAGGGACCAGTCTGTGGGCGAGAGGCCCTGTCAGCAGCAGCACTCAGGAGGCGGGTCCCTTCAGAAGTGCTGCGTGCTGCCCATCCCACCCCAGCCCCACCCGAGGGCAGCGCAAGACAGAGGGTCCAATGTCTTCAAATCCTGACGACTGTCACGGCCTAACCACATGGCCTTCGGCAAACCACTCCGCCCAGTGGCTCAGAGGAGACACCTCCAGCTCCTGCACAGGGTTGTGGTGAGGCTTCCCAGAGGTCTTATTTGTAAATCGCCGAGGGCAGGCCCCAGGCTCAGTCCTCTCGTTTCTCCCCACAACAGCGCTCAAGGCGGGCTTACCCCACTTAGCAGGCGAGGAGACAGAGGCCCACTCAGGTCTAAAGCAACTCACACACTAGCACTATGAGATATACTAACATACTGTGGACTCTTAACCAATAAAGTCATCGTGAAGTGTTTAAAAGAGAATGAAGCAGATGGCCTCGGGTTCACATCTGAGCTTCGTGCCTTCCTGATTGAGAAGCAAGCAGCTTCGCCATTGTCTGCCTCAGTTCCCCCGTCTATCAGATGGGGTAGGCAGTGCGAGTCCTCCGAGGCTGCTGCAGGGGCTGGAGAAAGTACGCGCAGGTCACTCGCTGTTGCAGGCGGGCCCTACAGCTTGGCATTAACCCTTCGTTTCGATTCTCACTACTTAGACTAGAAAATGAGGTAAGTACCATCGTCTCCTGTGACAACGCACATCTGAAGTCCAGAGCAGTGATGTGACGTGCCCAAGGTCACACAGCGGGGCTCTGGGTATTTAATCAGTGTGAGTTACAAGTGAGGCCCCTCAGATCCCGGAGATCAGACCTACTCAGGTCCTGTGGCCTAGACCGGAAGAGGCCTAGCACACAGGGTCTCAGGGCAGGGCCACGGGCTGGTCGGAACCTGGCCCAGATTGTTTTCTATTGTTCAGGCTCCTTTGGATTTGAACCTCCGACAGGTCACATGATTATAAGGCCTGGTCTCCTTGGGAAAAAGGTCTCTGTTGCCAGGAAGTTCTGAGCCGACCCGGAAGGGCTCTAATGACTTCAGGAAGCCCCAAGGTCCCACTGCGGGCCCAAGGGATAGCCGGGGGCAAGGGGCACAGGGGAGACCAGGTGCAGCAGCAGTCTAAGAGGCTGGGGCTGGCGGCGGATGGGCAGCCTGGGGCAGGGCCGAGGTCATACTCACTGGGCTGGTGGCGCATGCAGCACAGGATGGAGCGCGCCTTCACCCCAAAGTCTCGCTCTCCCTCCTGCAGGCCCTGGCACACGAGGGCCACCACCTCGTCAGGGGTGAGGTCCCCTCTGTGTGGGGAAAGGAGTAGGGATGGGCCTGAGACAACTGAAAGTCTAAAGAGGAGCCCTGGGACAGAGGAGGGTGAGGAGGAGGGGGGAAGGGACAGAGGGAGAGGGGACAATGGCGGGGGGAGACGATGGGGGGGAGGCGATGGGAGGAGAGAAGGAGAAAGAGGAATGTTCCAGAAGCCTCCTCCTCCCACCAACCCACTGCATCTAAGGAAAGCCTGAGGGAAATGGCCAAAGCCCCCCCAGCAAACCCCCTTCCGGCTTCCTTGGAACTGCCTGTTGATTCCAGACCTGGAGGACCCCCCAGATGGAAAGCATGGCTATGCTCGCCTGGCCCGATCCCCACTTGTTCACTTGTATCAGAGTCATGGCTAGAAGGGGGGCAGGTGACTGTGTGACACCACTCAAGATCCCTGGGCGGCAGGAATGGGCCAGATGCCCTGGGGTTGGCGCAGGGCCCCGGTAGGCACTGGGTAAGCCGGTTCACGTTCCTAGATGGCAGGCCTGGGCCTAGGACTAGGGGTGACAAGACACAGCCAAACGCTTTCGCCCAAGATAAAAACATAAGCCAAGGTGAGGAATGGGAACCATGTCTCTCATGACAGAATTAAGCCCATCTTCAGCCATAGACCAGATCGGGGGAAAAATCAAAGTCTTGCTTGGGTCAGGGCCTCCCAACAGTCCGACCCTCGGGTCTCAGGCTGGGCCACCCTGCCACAGCCTCAGCCCAGCTCCTCCACGCAGTCACTCACTCAGCCTGGTGCCAGGAGATGGGCTCCACTTTAGAGTTAGCCAGCAGGTGTGGGCTGTAACGCACCTCCACGTACACCACGCCCTCGTTGGCCTTCATCTCAACGAACTCATAAGCAATCCTTTTGATGGCCTCCCGGCAGCCCCTGGGAAGAGAAAGCAGGGGGTGGGTTGGGATAACCTTCCCCAAAGTCCCTCGGGAGCTCCAGGAATAACAAAGCTGTCCGCAACCCTTGGCGGATCAAACTCACTTCTGGGTCCCCATCCCTTAACCCCCAGCCCCAAGCTCTGGGCGTCCACCGGAGAAGATGCTGAAGGTACAGCAAGTGCCGGCAGCTCTGCTTCCGAACCGTATGCTAATTCCTGGCCCCTGCACCTCCCGCTCTAACCACCTTACCTAACAGGCCCCAGCGGTCCTTCGCAAATGCAAATCAAAGCCCACTGCTCCTCCCGCTCTGAACCCAAGGGCTTCCACCACGTGGGATAAAATCCCAATTCCGTGGCCTGGCCCACAAGGCCCGTATCACCCGGCCCCTGCCGACCTCCCCAGCGCCCTCCTTCTCACTCACTCCACGAGCACAACAGAGGCTCTTTCTGTCCCGGGCACAGTCAAGCTTGTTTCCACATCGGACCTTTGTGTTCGCAGCCACCCTCGCCCCCACCTACATGCTCTTCCGCCAGACTGTCCTGCGTTCCCTCCTCCCTCCATTTAGACCCCGGCTCCAGCAGAGACGACTTCCTGAACCACTTTATTTTAAAACAGCCTCTCTGTCATTCTCCACCCCTTCCTCTGGACTTTAGTTTCCTCCATGGCCCTTACTATCACTCGATGTTACGTGTCACATGGTTTGTTAGCCGATTTTCATCTCCCCTACTAGAATGTAGACTGCATGAGACAAAGACTCCACCATCTGTCTTGTCACTGCTACGGTTCCTCACGCGAGGACAGAACCTAGGACATAGTGGCCACACAAATATTTGTTGAGTGATGAATGTTGGCCAACAGGGACGGACACACAGAGGCCACAAAAGCAAAATCAGGCAAATTAAAGCACATTTAATTTGCTTTAAAAAGCTACACAGCAAAGGAAACCATCAACAAAGTAAAAAGGCAACCTACGGAATGGGAGAAAATGTTTGTAAACCATAAATCTGACAAGGAACTAATATCCAAAATATACAATTCAATAGCAAACAAATAACCCAGATTTAATAATGGGCAAAGGACCTGGATAGACATTTCTCCAAAGACATACTAATGGCCAAACAGGTACATGAAAAGGTGGTCAACATCATGGATCATCAGGGAAATGCAAATCAAAACCACAATCCCGTATCGCCTCACACCTGTTAGAATGGCTACTATCGAGAAGAGAAGCTAAGAGTTAAGTGTTGGTGAGGATGTGGAGAAAATGGAACCCTTGTGCACTGTTAGCAGGAGTGTAAATTGGTTTAGCCCGTATGGAAAACGATATGGCGATTCCTCTAAAAATAGTACTGTATGAGCCAGCAATCGCACTTCTGGGTATGTATCCCAAAGAAATGAAATTAGTATCTCACCGAATATCTGCACCCCCATGGTCATTGCAGTGTTATCCATAATAGCCAAGACATGGATGCAATCTAAATGTCCACCTGCAGATGAATGGGAAAATGTCTCTCCCTCTCCCTCTCTGACACACACACACACACACGTATTATTCAGCCTTAAAGGAGGAAGTCCTGCCATTTGTGACTTGAATGAACCTGGAGGACATTATGCTAACTGAAATAAGCCAGACGCAGAAAGACAAATACTTGCATAATCTCACATGTGGAATCCAAAATAGTCAAACTCATAAAAACCAAAAGTAGAAGAACAATTGTCGGGGGCAGGGGGTGGGGAGATGTTGATCAAAGGGTACGAACCTTCAGTTACGCAAGATTAGTAAGTTCTGAAGATGACGTACAGCACGGTGACTATAGTCGATACTGCACTGCACACCTGAGATTTGCGAAGAGGGTACATCTTAAGGGTTCCTACCACACGCGCACGCACACACACAATAACGGAGGTGATCGATATGTTAACAAGCTTGACTAGTGATCATTTCACAAGGTATGCGTAGGTCAAGTTGTACATCTAAAACATATACAACTTCTACTCGTCGATTGCATTCCAATAAAACTAAAGAGAAAAAAGGGCACAGAGGGAGAAACCCAGAGGGAACTCTGGGATGGGGAGACCCCTGGGACTCAGACTTGAATCCCGGTTCCCACACTGATCTGCTGTGTGACCTGTTAATCACATTCTCTGACACACACATCAGAGGGTTATTGTGAGGGCAGATGAGTTAAATCTCATAAAACTCACCTGGGCCAGGGCTTGGAGCAGAACAGAAAAATGCTCAACTGTTTCATTGTTATTTCTGAGTGTTGGCTGCAGAAGCAACGTGCAAACTAACCTGCAAGGGCTACTGTGAGTGTTGATCAAAGGACAGTGGACTGAGCCTTGGCTGCAAGTTTCTGCCACGAAGAGTGAAACCGGAACAATTACTAGAAAGCAGAATGTGTGAGGGAAGCGCCCTGGGGAAGCCGGCCACTGCCAGGAGGAGGGTCACTGCAAGTACCTGTGCCTTGGAGGGTGACAACGGGCAGGAGCTGCCTCTCCAGTGGGAACAGCCCTAGGGGGTGGAGTCAGCCCTGCTGCAAGGGGTGCCAGCCTCCCAGAGAGAGGGTGCCCGATCTCCGCCACAGCTGTGGCATGCATTCCTTCCACCGTGACTGACACTGTCCCAGGCACAGGGAAAACGGCAAATCCCTGCTGTCAGAGCCTACGGTCTAGCAAGAGACAGGCAAATAAATGAGTGAAATATGTCGTTGGTCGCATGGTGAAAATCTCTATGGAGACACAGGAAGCAGGGGATGGGGGTACGGAATGGTAACTGGGCGGGGCCTGCACGATCAGTAATAGGATCGGGGAAGGCCTCACTGAACGTGACATTTGAGCAGAGACATGAAGGAGGTGAGAAAGCAAGCCGCAGGGCACCTATGGGAACAGCGTCCCAGGAAGAGGAAACGGCAAGTGCCGGGGACTCTAGCTTGGGGGTGCGCGTGGTGCCCAAGGTGCCAGACGCCGACGTGGCAGATGAGGGCTCTCATCTGACACCTGTGGATGCTGGCGGGGTGGGGGGAGGTCAGAGTCTCAAGCGGCTCTGAAGGAAATAATGTCTAACAGCCTGCTTGACTCGGGCCTTGAGGGGGCTGGGCCCCCTCTGCGTGTGGCCAGAGACAGGAGCAGCCTCAGGGGTGGCATGGAGAGATGCCTCAGCCTGCGTCTATGTTCTGGGGTGGGGCTGTCTTGGGAGGTGCGAGGCAGATGCCTCTAGGGAGGGGGCATGTGTCTGCCAGTGCAGCTGCTTACCGGGGGCAGGGCTGAGCCTAAAAGCCTCCAGCAAGAAGCCAGCCACCTTGGCACAACATCTTCCTTTGCTAGGACTTCTCATGTGTGCTCGGCCACTTACAGCAGCCAAAGGCCTCTGCCTGCCTCACACACCTTCACTGGTCCTCCAATAACGCATGCATGGCCCATCCTCCAAACCCTTCCTCAGGCCTAGCCCTCTGGACAATTCACGCCCTCTCCACCCCAAGGCCCGGGCCAGCCTTCCCTGACTGCTCCCAGCACCTTTGCCTCTTCCCCTCCTGAGCTCCCAGAGCACCGACATGCCTTGGGAAACTCTGCCTGGTGCCAAGAAGCTTGAGGTGGCATGGGGGCAAGAATCTGGACTTCACTCTCTGCCAGTTGTGGGGTCCTGGGCAAGCCCCTTCACTTCCCTGAGCCTTCAGTTCCTCCTCTGGAAATGAGGAGTATGTCCCCCTAGCAGCCCTACTGATGACTACAAAACGTATAGCTCTGTGAGCTATCCATATATTGTATTTTGTCTGAGAGAGATTCTGCTATTAAAAAATGGAAGGAATGCAAAATAACAAAAGCACCAGTGTCTGGCTGTCAATAAAGGTAGCAATTGTCTGCATAGTAAGAGGGGGTTTGGTGAGGACAGTGCTGTGTTCACTCTAAACTCCAGCCCTAAGAGGTGGACAGGATCCCAGGCCCACTGTCTGGATGAGGGACTGAGGCCCAGAGAGGGTGAATTTGTCCAGTGTTACTTCATGAAACAGTGTGAGACTAGGATCTGTGTTCTTAACCCACACATTCTGTCACTTCTCTGTAGAAGTTGAAGGAATTTCAATTTATCACACCCACTTCCCAGAAGGGAAAACTGAGGTCCCAAAACAGAGAGTTCTGAGCAAGTATGTACAATGGTCAGAAGCAGAGCTAGGGCCTCCCGCCCCACAGGCTGAGGTGCAGGCCTGGTGCTGGCAGCTGTCCCAGGCACAGGGACCGACGCTGCCCAGGGCCTGAGGGTGGGGGACTCACGCAATGGCAGGCATGTAGTAGTCGAACTTGGCCAGGAAGCCGGGGAGGCTGAGCGGCTTGTCCATGCCGATGAAGTCCTGCAGCTCCTTAGCTGTGCTGGCAGGGAGGGCGATGCCCCTCTTCCTGGGGACAAAACATGAGGGCAGTGGACTGGCCCTGGGCACCTCTCCATCTAATCCATTGGGCAGATGGGAAAACTGAGGTCCAGGGCATACAGAACCAGGACCGGAATCCTTCCAGCACCTCCTGTCCCCAAGACCATGACCAGCCAGAGAATCTCAAGGATAGCCGGGATTAAAATCTGTTTGTGCACATGGACACACACATGTGGACAGAGGAGGTACGAGGGCAAGCCCACTGCTCCGCCCCAGGAGTTGGTGCGGTCAGATTGTTCTACGCCAGCTCAAGGGTTATCAGAGGCAATCACTACAGCGCAGGAGCAGGGGCCAGGGCAGACGCCTGCCCTCCCTCCTCCGACCTCTGTCTGGCCAGCACGTCAGAGAGGCTTGCCTGGCCCAGTGTGCTGGGAGAGGGCTGGGCCAGCTGGCCACCAGCCTCAGAGGTCCCTCCCCTCCCTGCCCACAGTCCTCCCCGTTCCCAGGGCTAGATATAGCCATCACTCAGTAAGGGCTTGCTAAGGACAGCCCTCCTGGCCCGGAGCCTCCTTCCCCCGACCCGCACCTCCGCCTCCCCCAGCCAGGGGCGACAGGATGCGAGGGGGGCTGACTTCCCACTTTCTGCACAGCCTGGTCTCCTCTGCTCATCCTGGATCTGCCCCGACTCACGGGTCACCCTGGGCCTCAGCTTCCCCACTTTGAAGATAAAAGGGACAAAGAATTACTAGACATCAAGCAACGCTTCTACCATGAGGGACGAAACGAGAGACAAAAGGAGCTCCGAGGAAACAAAAAAAAAATGCAGAAAACAGAAGAAAACTTAAGAACACTAAAATAAACATCCTCAATTAGAAGGAATGGAAAATAAAAGCTGAGAACATCCTCCGGCAAGCAGAACAAAAGATTAAAAAAAATTAGGAACAAATGGTTAGGTGAGTTGGATGATGAAGTCAGGAGACTCAAGCATCTAGTTAGCCACAAAGGGAGCAGACAGAAGGGAGGAAATTGCCAAAGACATGGAAGTTCAAGCAAGTAGTCTTGACGTCTTTTAATGGCTTCCGTCATTCAAATATTAAAA